GGAAGGCTTTCTCCCTTGGCAGATTACCCATATGTCGCGTTGCATTTTTCCAACAATGCAATTCAATTTTCAACAAAACGTGATCGACTGGCGTTATCCTGACATAACTTTTGATTATGAAAAAAGCAACACTAAATTCGCAATTGAAATAAGATAAATAAGACAGTATAAGTTTATATCCTAAACATTCCAACTCTCGAGTGGCTAGTTAATAATGGCTAAATAACTTTCAAACCTTTAATGAGATTATGATCTCCGATTTTACTTTTCCGACTGTTATATATAATAGAGGGGAAATATGGCGATCGATCAAACAAGACCTCTAAGATTTAAAAATTTTTAAACTAACAGAATCTTGAAACCTTGAAAAAAAAATTGAGTTTTTCTTTGTATTAATGTATGTATGGCACGATTTTATTTACCCCTTTTGAAGCTTAACTCCCGTGCGTTTTATCGAAAATTTCTGAAATTTTGCAGGGCGGTTTGTGTGTTAGGGGATTGATGCTATTAAATTCTGGTGGTTAAAGGTCTAGGGGTAGGGAGATAAAGGAGGTCACATCCAGAAGGGGGTCGGACTTAATGAAGATTTTACTCGTTATAAAAAAATTGTAAATGGTTATAAAATTTATCTCATCTTCAAAATTAAGCTTTTTTGCAATTTTATAATAATTAATACTATAAAAAGGTTTTAAAATAAAATATAACAGATGGCACCATACAACAATTTTAAATTGATTTGCCGGGAATGTTACGCATCTTATTGCTGAATATTTTTAATAATACACTAAGCGAAATTAATTTTAAGAAACACGTTAAGTTGGTTTAGAATAAGTGACTAATAATGTTACCGCTGTTTCAGAAAAGTGATCGTTTGATATTAGTCGTCAAACTCCCTCAGCCAGAATTTAAAAATCGTAATTACAGTACTACAGCCGATCCTATAATATTTTCTTTACTTTGTAGGAAAGTATGAGACTTCGAAGTAGTTATGGCTTTTGATAACGTGACAATACTGTATAGTGAATCGATTTGCAAATAGATTTCCTACGACCTGAGGACACATAGAAAGAAAAACTTGAGAAACAATAAACATGTAACTTACCAATTTACACGAATGTATTTGGGCTGCAATCTGAAAAAAATTGCAGATCTATAAATTTCCACTGTCGTCCGTCTGTCCGTCTGTCTTTCCTCAATCTCTAGAACGGAATTAGACAGATAAAATCCGCAACAAGGTATGGAAAGCTTAAGGTTCCGATGTGAACCTCTGATGCAAATCGAAGGCAGGTTATTTCAATTCTAATCTTTTCCCCTGAAAGATGTTAGATAGATGACTGTCACGACTCTACTGTTAAAGGAAAGTCTGATGTACAGGGGCAAGCCGCTACTAATTTGAGACGGAGAGCATATATTTTAAATGAAATAAATTAAAAATATGATTGAAAATTGCAGCCCGGTATTTTGATGATGTCGCAATAAATAATCGCTCGTTAGAATATGCAATAACATAGGCTTCCGTTGAAATTTTTCCAAGGGATACACTCTCACTATCATAATAATTATTTAAATCGGGCTAACCAAACTTATACAGTATTAGATAATTTATTATAGTAATGAGTGAGGCAGAGAATAGAATTTCCCGACATTCTTTAGGAAATTAATTATACGGTTTTAACTTCTAAACCCCTTATCCTCTAGTTAGAAGACCTAATTCAGCAGATGCCTATGCACAGTATATCCAGAAATGTTAATATTTAATAAATTCGCATCAGAAATATTTTGTTCACATTCGATTCATATCAACATAAAAGTTATTTGCAATTATTAAAAATGAAAAAAAAAATCGCGTGTTCTTATTCGATTTAGTTGAGAACAAAATACATCTAATTTAAGTACAGTACATACGTGAATATTCTCGAATTAGAAAATTGAATTGAGAATCTTCTCAATCAAAAATTGCGAATGAGTAATATATTTTCTTGATTTTACTCTTGGGATTAATTGTTTCTATAATAATATGAATGACCACAAAAACTTATAATTTCTTTTTTTAAGTAGGCCTAATTCTTTTTTTTTCGCGCGAAATTAATTGGCAATATAGAATGAGAAAGCTTAAGATATAAGTCTAATATTTTGTTTATTAATATCGTCTTTATGATCCAAATATCACTTACAGCACATAGCTAATGATGTATGGCAGAAGGAGTGGGACTGCGCTGATACAGGAAGGATGTGTCACAACTTTATACCTTCCCTTGTGCATCTTAAAAAAGCCAAATACTTCAGCCCAGATGCAGAGGTGACCGAGTGCCTTACAGGACACGGGAACTTCGCATCACACCTGCACCGTTTTGGTAAGCAGATCGATAACACCTGCGATTGTGATGGACAGAGTGAAGACGATGCGCTACATTTTCTCTTCAGCTGCAACAAATACAACCAACAACGTGCAGAACTCTTCCAAGAATGTCTCCAAACAGGACTCAACTGGCCCCCAATCCTGCAGACATTCTCGATAACAAAAAACTATGGACAAAAATGAAGAATTTCATATGCAAGACAAAAAAACTCAGGCCCACAAATTCCAGTAGCCAGCGAGATGAGTGACACGGCCACATCCCACATCTGGACCAATAATAGACTGGCTGATTTCATTTAAGATAGGCCAGCTACTCGCCCAATTTGTTCAACCCGCGATCTGACTGTACCGGCATATGCAAATTAGACCCACTGGGTTTATATCTACTAGATTCTTCAATATTATTAATGCTAAATTTTATAATGTTTTATCTCTTTGTCAACCCAATTTACAGCATATTTTGTAATTGTTGAAACTTTGTATCTGTTCCCCCCTTTGCTGTACACATTCACTCGCACGTGCAAACTTGTCATGTTTGTTTTTATTCTGTTTACTAAACATATTTTGTCTTGTCACTGTATTTTACTTGTTCAACAATTCTGATGCAGACGCTCAATGATTCGACACTTCCCTTCAATCTTTCCCTATTTTCTTTCCCTCCCTACTTACTATCACTTCCTCTTCTAATTTCTTAGAGGTAAAGTCTGTGCATATACAGACAACCTCTCTACTCTTTTAATGTAATGTAATGTAATATCGATATATAATATGAAGATATCTTTAGACGTCAAACTTAACGATGCGCTTCAGTTAATTGGAATTTTAAAAGAAATTCTCATTTTAGAACATCATCACTAGGACATTAAACTAAATTATCTAGAAATAAGTGAAAGTTTATAGTAATTATTATTCAAACCTATTACATTTAATTCAATTATACTGTAAATTCAATAAACAAATTTTTAGATTTGATTGATTATTAGTTTGAAGTTTATATTTTAAAATAGAAAATATTAGTCAAGCTTTCAAACTTTCTTTAGTACTTGATTGTATTGGAATAATTATCCGTATATAACTTGAATTAATTAATTAAGTTCTAAGAAATTTCTTGCATAATTAAAACATCTTTAATGATTATTATTTGCAGAATCGAATTCCCTGAGAAAAATGAAAATAAGAACGAAAAAATATTTCGATATTATAAATCTGGTCATTTCGTAGACACATTGTGTGTCGTCGGTCAATCACCTGATCAGAAAATATTTAAGGTGCATCGTGTAATATTAGCAAAAGCCAGTCAAATATTAGAAAATATGCTGTATAATTCTAACATGGATCCGGAAGTGATTCTACGTTTTCCGGAAATCGAACCGGAAATCTTCGAATTGTTCTTGATGTAAGTGAAGACAGTTCTGTTTGAAATAATATCATAGATTTAACATAATTATTTTGTATACATTTGTAGCTACATTTATATAAAGTCGCTGATACCAAATACCGAAGATCAGGTCTTGAAATTGTACAAAGTAGCTCATCGATTCGATTTGCAACTACTCAAAGCGAATTGTCGACAATTATTAAAAGCCAATTTAAATGAACGTAATGTTTGCAAAATTTACCAAAGTTCCGTGGAAATAAAAGACGAATTATTGAATGAGAGCTGTACAGATCTCATTGAAGATCAAGCAGAAACCGTTTTACAATTCGAATCATTTACGAAACTGCCTAGTAAAATAATTTTGGATATTATTAAGCGACCCATGTGGATAAAATCCGAATTAACGGTTTTCGAAGCATTATTGAGATGGTGTAGAGTGCAAACTCAAACTCTTTTTCCATATTTTCCCCATATACACTTCCTGAGCATGACTGTCAAAGAATTTTATGAAGGACCGGAGAAAAGTGGAATTTTATGCAATAAGGATGTTTCTTCCATTAAAAATTATCTTTTGAATCAACGTTCTGGAGATCTTCCCGAATGGTGCAGTAAAAGAACAACACTGAGACATCCTTACAAAATCTGTTCTCTAGACTGCCCAATGGAAGTAAGACAGAGTAATTGGTGTGAGAATCTTGGTTGTAACGTGACCGTCCAAGGACGTGATATTCGTTTGAAAGGGATTGGTTTCGATATCGAAAATAGTAACGCATATTACGTTTGTGTACCGAAACGAGAAACTCTTATCGTGACGACAGATTCAGGAACTTCTTTTGAAACGGCTAAGATAAAGTTTTCTGAAAATACTAGAGAATTTCGTGTGTTACTCGATTCTCCTCTCGAATTGCAGAAAAATAAGAAATATGAAATTTTATTGGACGTTTCGAAATTTTCTCGAAGTTTAACTTATTTAAGTTGCGAAAATGTAAAAGAAAGAACGGATTCAGTGAAAATGGGAGATGTAAATTTAGTTTTTTATGGTCACGGAAGTGTTTCTGAATACAAGTCGTCATTGATGAATATTCATCGAATATTTTATGATTTTGACGAATATTAACAGTTCGATATGTCTAAACAAAATTAACATAGATAATAACTAATTTATGAAAAGGATTTTAACCATAATCTAATGTTATTTTCTTTGGTAAAGATCACAAAATTTCAAGTATTCTATAATAAATACAATAGCAGTTCCTTATGTTCCAGCAAATCCTTATGTTCCAAGAAGTTAAATAAAGTTTTAAATTGATTTAGATTACTGAATTTAAAATATCTTTTGCATTGAAAAGCGTAAAACAATTAATATATATCATATTTCTTAAAATTCCTATTTACATAAGAGGATTATTTATAAAACCAGATAGATACCTCTAGTTCGGAACGTAAGTCTCCTCTTGATATCCTTTAACCGCTGCTATGGTCGGAGGAATTAATTCACTTAGGTTCTTCTATGGCTTTGGAATAAATTTCTGGCCGCGCTCTAGTAAACGGCATACTGCCTCTAGAATAACCTCACCCGAATAATTATAATAGGGGATATGCACTTGCTTCCTTTTTTCTGTAAAAGCCATTGGAACTTTTTACCTAACTTAGTTTTTGCTTGGAAGATATTGTTGTCTGAGATAAAACTAATTTTACCGAGCTGTTCATAAAGGGTATTCGATTTACAAACTTTAACAAAGATAAGTGTGCAAGATTTTGCTCAAAACCAGCGATTATTCTCTGTTTATTTGATTAACTTTGCCAGGAGCTTTCTTATTACGTGAGGCAGCAATGGACAAACACACAACGGAAAATATTCATATCTTAATGAGACACACTTATAAACAATTCCATGCTTTCGACAACGCAAAAGAAACGTAGTTGTGCCTGTTGTCTACAATAGGGGGTTTTCAAACGTTTTCTTTTAAGTACCAGTTGCTGAATACAGAGAACATGTCGTAGCATTAACTGCATGACATCCATCTGCCCAATAAAACAATAAAGACAATGGCCATAACGTTCAGCAAGCATAAGATAAGATGCAAATGAGACATTTCAGCTGGAACGTAACTTCCCAGCTAACCAATTTTAGTAGGAAACGTGTGCCTGTTTTTTCGACATTAAAGATCAGTATCCTTGGGGAAAGGGTGCTCAGAGACACGATAAAATCCGGTTTAAGACGAAGGCAACTCCTGAGTTTTAGTCTTTATATTAGCCATGGTGGAAAGTGCTTTCTCACACAAATATGAATGAAGTGGTCCAAGTGGAAGAGATGTAATTGCTTTGCTTGAAACTGAAGGATACGTTTTTCTTATCTTCATTCTATAATTGTGTTAGTGATTTTTCTTGGAAAATTTCATGCATTTGATGACCCGATTCCATGTCTATCAGTTTCTTGCTGCTAGACGTAAAGCTTGGATTTCATCAGATTGTCTATCACGAATGGCGACATAACCCAGCGACTCTTGGTGTCACTTCCCATTCATAAGAACGGGAAGTACGACAAAAACTCAGAGTGCCAAATGTTCCACAATAACAACTGTTATTTCCTGCCTATAAGTGACAGTGATTGAATTTAAAGAAATTAGAACAAAATTTGAAACGCATCTAGATTTCCACGTGTAACACGATTCTTCTAGAAAAAGCTTTTTGAGAAATGCCGAAACTTTTGCCCATATCCTTGCAGAAACAGATTCAGTTCGTTTAGTTTCCTGGATATGTTTTCCTGGGTTATGGATATGTCTCAAGGTATGCAAAGCGGGAAAATTCAAGATATGTTTTCGAATATTTTTGCAAGAGGTGTCTTATCTTTGAGGAAAAGATATACTTCATCTCGAAGTTCAAAAAACCTTGTCAAAACATTTCCTCTTGACAATCAATTTCTTCAGTTAAAATTTTCTTCTCAGTGGTTCTTCACTTCTGGTAAATGTCAGATTAGAAGGACATAACAAATTTGTTTATTTGTTTATAAATTTCTTTTTAGTGCTTACCAAAAAATGGCGTAGGTAGTTCTCTCGGTTTTCTATTTTTAAATGCAGAAGGACGGCATCCAGTCCTACCTGGTTCTCTCAGCCAAAAAAAAAACTGCCCAAAATATACTTTGTAATGATAACTTAGTAAGCAAGTGTCCAGTAAAAAATTTTCCAATTTATCGCAATCTATTAATATGTCTTAAACATAATTGCAAAATTTTGTTTTTATTACTTAACAATAAAAATAGCTGATAATATAGACAAAAAATTTGGTAGCCCAAAAAAAATGCCCAAAGAGACAATATTTTTATCTGCTAAATAGAAAATCAGTAGCTCAATTTGGCAGAAAACAGCCAAACCTGAAAATAATGATAGTGGGAATATCGCGGCTGACTGAGAAAGCATTACAGGTGTAACCATGGCTTCTGCTTCTTACTGGACGATCACATCACGTAGATATGAGTAGAAACATTTAACTGACGAGTACTTTTGACAATATATAACTGTCTTCAATCAATATGGAGAATAAAACGCGGTACCCTACTTCTTAACTAATTTATTTCTTACACGATTTGCTAAAAGTACGTAAAAACGTACTTTTAACAATTCATGTAAGAAGTGTAATAATGCTAGTGTAATAATGCTACTTAGCACTATATTTCGCGGTACTCCCGAAATTTCGTTGTGGCACCCAGTTGAAAACCACTTGCCTTAACATTGTCACCAGTGCCGAGTGGATAAAAATCGCCGAACACTGGTAATTGGTCGTGGGTTCGCGCTTCGCCACATGGAATTTAGCACCTAATTAAGATAGGGGTTTCCCATCTTAATTACCATAAATGTTTCCACTCTAACCATTACGTATCTCACGGATCGTTGCCTCATATAGTCAATCAAATTCGTATTATTAATACAGTCAAACTTGGCTAATTGGAACTTATATAATTCGAATTCATAGTTAATTCAAATATTTCTTCTGGTCCCTTGAATTCTCTGTTAAAAACATACAAAAACATCACATGAAATTCGAACATTTTTCTGTTTAAAACCCTTTGAAACCGTAAATAATTATATAAAAAACCTTAATTTTAAAATTCAAATGCAAAGTTTTATCAAGACTATCATCGCTTTCAGCAATATTATTCGTTGCTAAATTAAAGCGGTCTACTTCGGTTGAAAATTCTATATCTTCATCTACCGCCATCTATATTCTGTAACGTTAACTATTATCGAATTTCGAACATTTTTACGTAAACAATCAAAAATGACGTTTAACCATATAAAAACTCGTTAACAAAAATAATATTTAATATCAAATTATATAAAAGTAAAAAGTATCTACCTAAAAACAGGAACGACGATATTAAATGTAAATACAATTTCGATGGGCGAGAATGGCTAAGCGACATTAGTCATTCGTGTGATGGTCCGGATTAGTCGGTTGTACAACGGTCCTGCGTTTTAAACGAACTCCTTGTATTCTTCGGGTTGCGAACGATCTTGTGAGTGAGGGATGAATTGCTTCATGTAAAGCTCAGTTTCGTCCTGGAGTTACGTATACGTGTGTCTCGCCTGATGAAGGATACGTGAAAGATATTACCCCTAACAGCCACGAAAAGTGGCTGTTAGGGGTAATATCTTTCGTACGCGGGCAACGAAGTATACGCGAAATATGGTTTTTATAGGTGGGAGTCATGGTCATACGTTTCCAAAAAGTCCGTTTCTATGAGAGAATATAGCGCTGCAATTCGGCGGTCGCTGTTTTGGCCTTCAACCACTTGTCACGACTTATTTGTCTATGGAATAAGCAATACGCACTCCGTTTTTTCGCCAACTTCAGCTGGAGGTCTGTGTTCCACCAAGGAGGATTGATTTTTACAGTAGGGTCGCTGTCTGTGCTTACGAGAAGCGAAAGACAGGTTTTTGTACTGCTGGACGAGGTCGTTATCGGCCATCCAAAGTGACCAGTGATTGCAGTATGTTTATGCAGGCGTTTTCTATGGCACCTTCCGTCTGGTGATTGTTGTCTTTGTTATAACGGTTGGCATCGTTGTTGGCGTTGGTTGCTCCGACAAATAGGAGACTGGCGCGTCGGTAGAGCTGGGATATGTATGTCAATCATTCTATGTTTACTACCGTACTCATGAGGCCGGACATCCCAAATGGCCATGGTTGCTATGTCGCTGGTCGTGATTGTAAGATCTATAGCAGTATCAGAGCCATGGACATTATAATGCGTTGGGTGTCTGTCATTGAGAAGAACAAGCGGAGAATAATGAAGGAGATCGGCTAACGTCCTGCCGCGTGTATCAGTGGATTGATTCTCCCATAGAAGGTGATGCAAAGTCCCCGCCGATTATGATAGATGGACAAGTTAAACGACCAAAGAAGTCATTGGGAAGGCTGATGGGGGATGTGGTGGAAAGTAGGCGTTAATTAATAATCCGAAGTGCACGCAGAAGGAAGACATCCACCACAAGCCACTCCGGATCTCCCTGCCCCGCAGACGATCGAGATTCGACGAGAGTGTACGGGAAAGTGCGCTGTATTTACTGTACAAGGATAGACCACTACCTATTGTGGCATACGATGGGTATGAAACGCGTTGAAACCAGGGAGGTTGATGAGATTTGATGAGTATACGCAGGTTTCCTGAATGATTAGTATGTCATAGTTATACCAAATACCTTCTGCTTTAACTTGCTCAATTTTATTTCTCGGGCTTGTGGCGTTCCACTGTACTATTCTTATTTTCGTTTTGTTTGTTGATTAGTCATCGTGAGTTTTGGCTGAGCGGTAATGGGTTTTTGGATTTTCGTTTTGGTGTTTTGTAATTCTGTGATTATTATCAGATCATTATCCCCGCTATGCTCTATAGCAGTGGTATTCAATCTATGGGTCGCGACCTCTTTTGGGGCCACGAAAAATTACCTTGGTGTCACAAAGTGGATAGAAAACTTATAAATAAATTTAATTGAATACAAATACATCATTGACAAACTTTTTTTGAGAAAAATATTAGTTTCTAAAAGGTGAAATTTTATTAAATTCTAGACAGATTACTTATTTTTAGAACGACGACTTCAAAGAGATAGAAGTTCGGATTAGTGATGCAACGAATAGTATATTCGGCCTGAGGGCGAATACCGAATATTCGGCCAGGAGCGTAGCAGAATAGCCGAATATTCGGGCAAACTATTCTGCTAGATTAACGCACGTACGAAAATTGGCGCGCAAACTGCATTATGGCAAGGATCGCGCATCCTGT